GCCGGCGGGCGAGGCGCGGCGCGGCCGCCCCGGAGATGCCCTTGTGAGGCGGCCCGGGGAGGGGGGTGTCTGAGGCGACAGGAGAGCGCTTCCTCGGAGCTGCCCCTCGGCGGGGCAGAGGAAAGCGCCCTCCCTCCGTTCACCATTAAGAGGAAGGCGATGGAGGAGCTGAGCGCGGATGAGGTGAGTCGGCGGGGCCGGGGCCTGAGGGGGCGGCCGGGCCCCGCGGGGAGAGGGCGCCGGGCTGTGCTGGGCCCTTCCCCTCAGCTCGGGGGGGATTGTGTGTGTGGAGGGGGGTCGCTGAGGCGCTGGGCCTTCGCCCGGTGTTGGTGTTGGGTGTTTTTCGCGTTGCCCCTGACCTGCCGACCCCCGGCCGGCCGGTGGGGTTGAATTGCTTGTCTCCTGGTTAATTGTTTATTCTCTGCTTCCATCTGGCAGGTAGTCTTTGTTTGGAGGATGTCTCCTGTCTCTGTGCAACGCTAGGCGTTTTGTATGTTCTCTGTGTGTGATTCCCAGAACCCAAAACCTTACTTTTTAACATAGTAAGCCACTTAAAATCTTGCTTCGTCAGACTCTTGGTTGAGAAGCAAGGTTGATGTGAGTGTGTTCTTTTATTTAATATAATTTGTTCTTGTAACAACTTGAAACAGGCTTACCAGTTTTCCAATGCTTTTTTCGATTTACTTTTAAAAAAATTATTGTTATTCAATCTCTTGTTCTTTTTCTTAAGAGTTATACATGTTATTATTCTGTTCCCTGGCCATGGCAGGGGGGCTTGGAACTAGATGATCTTTAAGCTCCCTTCCAACTTAAACCATGCTATGACTATGTGGTGATTGACAAACATCTGACATGGAATAATGTGAACTGTTTCTTGTTTCTTCCTTCATCTTCTGTTTGTTTTGTTTTGTTTTGTTTTGTTTTTAATATAGACTAGTGTCTTAAGTTTAGCCTGTTTATTGGAGGACTCTCAGATGAATTCTGTTGTGATAATCATCAGGATGTAGGAAGATTCCTACTGTCTCGGTGTAATACCCAAATCATATACAGCTTCATGCCTTCCCTTATCTCTTTAAAATAACATTTTCATATTAAATTGTATTGCTTACATACATAGTGCGCTGTATTGGGCCAGCTGCAGCATAGGCTCGTTGCTGTACTTATACTCTGGGGAGAATCAAAAGAAGTTATTTTTGTTCTGTGCCATATTTTATGGCGGGATTGTAGAGCAAGGTGGCTGCGCTTGTCACTCAGATTTGTCTTCCAAAAAGATAAGATGTTTTTGATTGCGCTGTGTATCATGATTTAGCAATCCTACTATGTTGCAGCAGGAACTAGGAGGAAATACTTCATGGTATTTACTTGATTAAGGTCTTCATGCTTTATGGAAGTGTTGAGAAAAGGGAGTACAATTCCCATGTTGGGAGAGCGGGACAGGGCACTAATGTTGTAATTGATCCCTGCAAAAAGGGATCTATAATTATCGGTGTATTTCATGAGTACTTTGTTTACATGCAAGTCTTCTGATTGTTAAGCTACATCTCATTATGAGGTGTTTTATGATTAATTTCAGGATTATTTAACCTATGTAAGCTTGTTTGTGTCACTGCTTCAGCAAATTACTGACATCATCAAAACCACTGCATTGTGGAACTGAGACTGCAGAAAATGAGTTCTCCAGCAGGGACTCATCTACCTTTTCTGGCAAAATGTTTGTCTTGAGTGACTCAAGTTTTTCCATGTCTTTCTAGTACAGGTCAAGTAGCATCAAAGCTGACTGATCTTTTACGTGATTGCCTGAGACAAACTTAATCTTATATCATTTTAAGAGAGTCACGCTGTCACTTTTTATTGTTAATGGTTCCCTCATTGAAAAGTCAGAGCCAAATCTACTGTAATATTCCTCCACTTCTCTACTTTACTGTTTCTTGGCGCAGTGGACCCTGGATCACAGGTGGACTATATGGAAAAATAGCCTTCTAAAATACATTATATGTGACTTCTGTCTGATTCAGACTTTTTATCTGGCGGTGACTGAAGGTGAAAAAATACTTAACTGAAGTTGGAATTAGTTGCAAGCCTCTTGTAGATTAGGTTATCTTCTTACATTGAACCATAATTAAGTATAACAATAACAAATTGTAACTTAAAAAGAAGAGAGAGATACAGTTGATAATGGGTTTGGGATTATAGGATATGTTTTAGCTTCAAGAAGATATTTTCCACTGCTGTCAATAGTGTCTGTCACTGAAATACTCTCAGTGTTTACTTTGTTAAAGCACTAAAAGTTGTCATTCACTACAGACCATACTAAAATTTTTAGGAGAGGAGAAAAGCTAAAATTCACACACAGAAAGGAATTTTCCTGAGTGATAGGTAGCACAAGATGAGAATAGGGACTGAGTGGAAAAAAGGCAGAATCAAGGCAAATGTGGCATAAAGTGAGAAAGAATGATGCAAACTTAGCATCTTTTAACATTTACATGATTTTTGAGTATTGTTTTCAGAGTGTAGAACGTGACTAGTGTCACCAGAAAATGAAGCATTTCTTAAACCAGTTTAACATACTGTAATGAATCCAAGGAAAATAAAATTATCCATTCAAATTTTTATTGCACAGGTTTAGAACTCTTCTACGATTGTGGTAGAATACAAAATCAGCTAACCATCTTTAAACAGAGTGCTATTTTTACATTGTTTGTTTTACTGTATCAGTTAAACGATTTTAAGAAGCCTAGTAAGATCAAAAAATGTATTTCTGAAAACTATTTTTAACATTTAATTAACATTTTATTAAGATTTCAAACCGAGCGTTATGGGGTTATGCCCTGTAAGGAAGATAGACATTGTTTGTTCTCCAACCTATGTAATAATTAATGCCAAATAACTTGCCACTGTCAGGTAATGTAACGACACATCACAGCTTTGCCATATGTCACTATTGCAAGTACTTGTTGCTGACATCAAGGTATTATTGAGGTACCCTAAACTTGGCTAAGAAAATACTTTAAAAAAACCCCAGCTATGTGTTTCTTCATACTAATTTGGAGAGTCATTCAGTCTGAAATGAGAAGAGGTCACTTTGAGCTCCCAATTCGAAAATACAAGATTTGTGTTCTGGGAAGGCAATGGGTTTGGGCCTTGTTACTGTGTGAACAAGCTACGTCTTCCCAGTCCCCATGGTGGGCCCTGGGCATAACGCCCATCTTCTCTTGATGCCCCTTAAGGGAGGGGAATTAACTGGATAGAATGTGTGCACCAGTTTTATGCTGTATTCTCAAACTCTTCTTTCTGCCTGCACCTTGGCCTCTCTCGCATAGTATCTTTGGTTTTCCTCTTTTTCTCTCGTACTTAAAGCTTTCTCATCATCAGATCAGATTTCTGCGATAACTTTATGTGAATCTAGAGAAATATGACAACTCAGGGTATCTAAGAACCAAATCTGGTCCTTTAACAATTGCTTAATGTATTCTGAGTTGTGAAAGCTGTCTCTTTCAGTGGAAAAAGTATTTAATGTTAGTTTGTTCAGCAGTAAGGAAGATAAGTAAAATTTGCCTATCATCCTTAAAGGGGCAGGGAAAAATCTTGTGTTAATTTTAGTTGCAGTATCTTATCTAAATCTGTCTGGGCAGATTACTTTATTCCATGCCCTTTTCTGAAATTTTTTTGGGACAGGTTACAGTGTGGGGGATTGGCCCATAAGAGAGATGGGTGGTTGACAGACTAAGAGTGATAAATACAGGGCAGAAAGTTCGTTGTGGTGTCCTCCTGTTTCAGCAGCAATGATTGTGGCTGGGTTTGATGTAACTTTGGCATTAATTTGGCCAAGCACTGTAG